ATTCCCCACAATCACATGAGCCAATTCCTTAAAATTAATAAACAAAAAAATAAAGAAAATCTCCATCCTATTGTCATTGTTTCTCCGAATGACCCTGATCAAAGGAAGCTGATGCACTTTCAGAGTCAAAGTCAATGGATGATTAAAAAATTTTAAATTAGGAATGATGAAAGGAACAGAAACCATGTCATTTAGAGAGAGAGAGAGAATGATGGAGCAGAAGCTAATTGTTTATTTTATAGAGATTTGGTATTGATTTTATTTTCACTCAAGAGAAATTTAAAAATTGGATTTAAGGAATGCTTGGGGGATTGCATCAATGCTGGAGTCAATGTCATACATTAGCATCAGAGAATACCAAATGTTCCTCATAAATCAATAAAGATGCCTCCCCTCAAGGTTCAGTAGACTAATTTATTAAAACAAGAAGGCATTGTGAGATTTCACATGCATATTTCTCAAGCATACAAATACATATGTTTCCTAATGATGAGTTTTGCAATCATTGAAACAAATGTTATATACTTTCTGATTATGACCATTCGTTTTCACAAATAACAACTTCTAAAGTTGCTACCATTGTTAAAAGTTTGAATTACAGTCATTCCTGATGCAGGGCTTTGGAGGAATAAGTTAGATGGTGTTTCTTCAAGACAATGGTGGTAGGGTAGAATAATTTGAACTAGCAAGTCATTTCACAAATTCCTCTCCAGCAACTAGTTGAATGGAATAGAGACAAAGTGGGAAAAGAGATTTAAAAAGCAGGAGGGAGCATCAAAGAGAAGCAGAGACAGATGTGCAGACAGGAGAGACAGAGGTAGGCAAGGACAAAGAAACAGAGACGGAGAGGCTGCCTCACTGGTGGCCTCTTAGAGCCAGCTTCCCCTGATGGGGTGCATGACTCTGGATTGCTCTATCCTTACTATTAAATTTCTTTTTCACTTGACCTAGTTTGAATGGATAGATGCCCTTTCAAATAATTTTGACTACAATAGCAATGAAATGCTTTCCCTTTATTGCTTTGGAGAAATTAATTATTCATGTATTGAGAATTTTAATTCCTTGAGCATAAGTATGTGGACCTTAATATTATATATATTCTCTCTATATATTCTACATATATTTATAGGTAGAAACATTATCCTAAGCATCTCAGACCTCAAATTATGCCATGGTAATCATTTATTTTCAAGCAGAAAGACCAGTTCCTAAACAATGTTAAGATTTTTATCACTAGCAGCCTTTGATTCATACATCATTTTTTTATCCTAACAGCTCTCTATCCTATAGAAATCTGAAAAATATGAACGTGTTGTTCTAAGGATGATTGTGACTGAAAAGCATTATATATGGTCATATAACTATTTATCCTTCTCCTTAATGGTTTTAAAAACTTAGAAGGAGTTCTGGTAACACTCAGTTTTCTTCAGAACTTATCAGTGTTACCTCTCCGATAGCCATTGCTCCAAAAACAGCGAGTCTCTAAATAAAAGCCAAACGCACTGCCATTCAATCAGTTCTGACTCACGGGGATCTTATAGGACAGGGTTGAGCATCCCCTGTGGACTTCTGAGACTGGAACTCTCTGCAGGCACAGAAAGCTCATCTCTCTCCGGAGGAGCAGCAGGTGGTTTTGCAACCGTGACTTTGAGGTTAGCATCCCAATTCGTACCTACACCACCACCAGAGACTACAACGTAATAAACAGTCCAATTATATGTGTGTGTGTGTATTTCTACATCCAAGAAGCAAAGGAATTAATTCATCCCTCATGCATTTGGTAAACATTTATGGAATGTCTTTATGTGTAATGGCAGGGCACCCATACAGATTAAACAAGCACAGGGGATTAAAAAGCAATAAAAACATGAGAACACTGTGAATTTGAGGTCACAAATATAAGAAGCAAGCATAAGAATCATAAGATTCTGTCATATGTAGGCAGAAGCTTACCAAATATGTCGCACCAATACAACATACAAAATATATTCATATGAAATTCAATATGCATTGTTTGTTTTCTACTCTGTGCCTAATAATTATGGTGGCCCTGTGAGAAATATTTTCAGACACTCATTTTTTCTGCTAAGCATCTGACAACGTTGCACAGGCCCGGGCTTGCTCTTCGGGTGGTGGTGTTAGGGCTGCTGCGCCATTGCCAACTCCCCGTGGCCCCACAACCGAAGGAAGCACGGCTCGTGCTGTCTCAGCCTCACAATTGTCCTGCAGTCTGAGCCTGTCGATGCAGCCAGTGTGCCCAAGGCCTTCCCCTGTTTTGCTGCCCGCTCCTTTCCTGAGCGTGATGTCCTTCTCTCGTAGTGAACAGGGACACGCCTGGGTTGCCTATTTTAAATGGAATGGTGTTTGTAAAGTGAATTAGTCTACAAATACTTGCTTTGTCCAGACTAAGCACATCCTGTTGGGGGATGATCCAGATGAAAAAGACAAAATCCTCTCTGTCAAAAGAGCTTAAAAAATCGATAATAGGAGGAAAATGACTTTTAGAGGAATACAAGGTAGAGACTACCAAGAGCATAAAAGTGTGCAGATAGATGGCTCTGGAAACATAGAGGGAGGATCAATCATTCTGGATAGTCAAGGCACACTGGACATGTAGAATGTAGAGGAACTTTTATAGGAGAGGGAGTATTTAGGCACAGAGATATATGTGAGTACAAGTTATTCCAGCCAAAGGGATTAACATGTAGAAATCCAATAGAGAACAGAAAATAGTTCAATGTGACTGTAGGCAGTAACCTGTAGTTATCATTGAAGAATCCTGAACATTAGAAATCTGAAATCTATTCTTTAGGTCTTTGGGAATCATTAAGGATTTGGGCTAAAGGGAGAGGCGGGCAGGGCTCACTGGTGGAGGAGAATTAGCTCAGAGAAGAGCTCTGTGCTGGTGAGCACGTTGTCGGACCCTGCATGGAGATGTGGACGACATGCTGACAGAGAAGGAAACAGAGGCAGCAGTGGTACAGAGCAGCCTGCGTCAGGTCTCAAGAGCAACTCACAGCAGTCTGAAGCAAGATTTCAACTCACCTTTCACTGCTCTTTTACTACCACATCCAGTCTTTATCAATCTGTCATGGGGCGAAGCTTGAAAAGTAATATCCCTATTGCACTGATGAGAATATGAAGAAGCACCTAGATCCAGCTACTTGTTCTGGGTCAGGCAGGTAGGGAAGACCTATGGGAAGTTGGAAGGCTGTAGGAGGCCATGTGTTCGTATTCTTCCACAGTAGGGTGTCCCCTCTTCTTCTCATATGCTGGACACCCACATTCTCTTCACCCCTGAGCTAATCAGGCTTAGACCATTTGAAGCCACATCGAAGGATGAGAAGGAAGACATGGGTGAAAGCAGCATGGGTGGGGGGCTCTCAGTTCCTGCCCGACTCAATAATTTCCAATGCATGGGAGCTCTCTTGTTGCTGGGTGCCACTGAGTGGATATCCAACTCTTTTTTTTTTTTTTTTT